AAATGGTATGTGTTTCGGTTTTGGTAGCATATGCATGTGGTCAATAAGCAACTCTTCCAGTGGAGCATCTCAGAGTGCTTTCTTCAGGTTAGTGGTGATGTATGCTTTCAAATCAGGGGGTTAAATTATTTCTGAGATACCCCGTATTTTGACATTATTGCGTCTTGACCTGTCCTCCAAATCAACCAATTTGGCTTTCATCCATCGTATTTCACCATCCCTTTCATTATGGGCATCTACCAGAAGGTAGAGGCGAACTCCCCCATTTTAATGCAATATGTGACACTGTCATTTACTGCTGTAACTTCAGATTTAAATTGTTTAGCCTGTGACACTATATCAGAGTGTAGGGTGGAGCACAGAGATACTAGCATATCTTTTAATGTGATATCAAGGACTAGCTGGTTTGTTTTAGGAAACTCTGAGATGGAGTCTTGTATCTCCCTGGTGTCATCTAAGGAAGAATCATAGCAGCTCACCAGCAATGCAGCAGCTGAACTCACTCATTTTTTCCTTCGATTTAACTAGACTGGATGAGGAGGATGATGGTTGTGAGCACCTAATTGCTGGTCCGTACTCCAGAAAAGGTCTGCATGAGGAGCCTGAAGGGCTTCCGGCGTTATCTTGGCAGCTATAGCGGAGCGGCTCGGGGAAAAAACTCAGTTATTTTCCCAGGTTCGCTCCGGTCTTTGCGCTTCCTTGAGGCCATCCCTATGTGTGACCGCAGCTCTGGAGCCTGGATATGCCATGTTCCGAAGCTCTATGTCGCAGCAGAAGTCTCCGGCAGCCTACTGTGGAGAAGAGCTGTATAAATGTGCATCCATCAATGTGCAGCTAGCCAAGCCCCCATATCGATGTTATTTTTGAAGTGATTAGTGATCTCCTGGGCAGTGAGTGAGTTAATGGGTGAAGGACGAAGTAGAGCGTTAAGGGTAGAATTGACAGGGACTGGATGAGAAGGCGTTAATGACAGTGATAAAATAGGTTTTCTTGGCAGTGTGAAGGCAAGAATTGTAGTTTTAGAGGGTAGGTATATATTGGTTGAAGTCTTTGTGAGACTTAGTCTTACGCCACGGGTGCTCAAGAACGCAGGTACTTTTTTGATACTTCTGGTGTCATCTGTTTGCCAGGGTTGTAGGGGTCTTGGCCTGATTTTGGGTGTAGTGAAAGGGGTGAGCTCGTCCAGGGTGGAGGACAGGGATCTATTGTAGACAGAAGTGGCTAGATTGGGGCAGGACAGGGGTGAGATTTTGTCATAGAGGTTGTCAGTAGCAGAATTGAGAAGAGAAGGGTTGAAGTGGCAAAGGTTTTTATGGATAATTTGTTAGGCTGTTGGAGGGAGAGGAAGTGGAAAAGAGGGAGAGAGCAAAACTAATAAGATCGTGATCAGAGAGATCGAAAAGAATTGTTAGAGAGGTTGCACAGAGTGCATAGATAGGAGAATACAAGGTCAAGGGTGTTGCCATCAGAGTGAGTAGAAGCCTGTATCCATTACTTCAGGTCAAAAGAGGAGGTTAGACTAAGAAGTTTAGAAGTAGCAGAAGTGTTAGTCTTAACAGGGATGTTGAAGTTGCTGAAAATGAGTGGGAATTTCACAAGAGAGAGGACATAAGGTAGCCAGACAGAGAAGTCATCAAGGAAACTTGACACCAGTCCTGGGGGCTGGTAGATCACAGGTAAAGAACCTGAAAGGTGCTGTATGGGGATAGGAGGATTCCCACTCCACCTGCCTTGCGTCCACTGGCTCTGGGGGAGTTGGTCCAGAGAAGGCCACTATGGGAGACGGAAATGGGAGAAGCAGTGTTGGATTCAGGAAGCCAAGCTTCAATGACAGCAAGTAGATTAAAGGAATTATTGACAAAGAGGTCATGAACAGAGGTGAGTTTGTTGCAGACAGAGCGGGCATTCCAGAGGACACAGGAGAAGGGGAGGCTGGTTTGGGGAAGAAGAGGAATGGAAACTAAATTGTGTGGATTCCAGAGGGTGCAGAGTGATGGGTGCTTTGGGTACAGTAAATAAAGGAAGCCCAGGGTTTGTGCATATATCTCTAGAGGTTTGAAGAAGCAGAAGGGTGAGGGAGGTAATATGAGAGTGCGGATTATATGAGGGAACATGCCTCAGCATCCTGAGGTTTTATTAACGTTAGATTAGAATTAGGACAAGATGATAAGTACAGTAGTAAGAAGAGGACAGAAGTTAGGATGATATTTACAGATTGTGGGGTGTAGAAGAGGGGTGAAGGAAACAGAGTTTAAGGAGAGAGGATACAACTGTGTAAAAGAAAGGTAGAGAGTTCATGTTACAGAGAGGAAGGAGAGCAGAATGGGGAAACAAGGTCATCTGCAGTCTGGTGTTGTGCAAAGTAGCTTGCTGTAGATGTTCGCTTTGTGCAATCACTGAAGTGCAAGATCGGAAGTGCCACTTAATTAGCAAACGCCACTTTATTGGAAGGACCCCAACATGCGTCCCCTAGGCATGTATATGGTATTTATTAGCCAGTTATATTTTGAGCATTGAGATACACATCCAGGCTTTTAGTATAAGCAATCAAATAAGTTAACTTGAACTAAGTAAAACCTCTTTACCTTCATGTTCAGAGAAGGTTCCCTTGCCTTTTGCAAAGTAAACCACTTTGCACTAAGTTTGCTATATCTGCCTTTAGTCCAGATAAAGCCTAGACGATGATGTGAACACTGAAAGAAGGACCTCTAGTAAACTGAAGGAGAGAACAGACTTGGGACTGACATTTCACGTGATCACCACATTAGGTGTGTAAGGAGTGGCATTTAGATTTAGATTTTTTCCTATGCATACAATAAGTAGAAGGGGATGGCATGATGGGTGATGAATGAGGATCCCTGATTTTAGCTTTAATCTTTCCTCATAGCTGAGGTCCCCCATAACCTTTATTAATTTAGTTGCTCTTCTATGCATTCCTTCCATTTCTTTCTGCGTTCCTTTTTGGGAACTGGTGCATACATGTTTTTAGTTCCCAATGCACATCTTTAGATTTATTAACATTAAATCTAACTTGCTATATACTTACCAAATCAAATAGTGTACCCAGGTTAGCTTGTGCATCTTGTACAGACCATATTCTACTACAGTAGTTACATATGTAGTCAAGTTGTCAATAAGTTCAATCAAAAGACAAAAATAAATATAATGATAATAGTTCACCTAAAAAACTTTACTCTTGAATCTGGATATACTATATACTGTATAGAGCAGGTATCTAATCAGCAACAGCATTTAATTTCGTTTTAGTAATGAATATATTTGGTACATACACTGGGGGGGGGGGGATTCATCAAAACTGAAGCAGACAAACTCTGCAGCAGTTGTGCATAGCGACCAATCAACTTCTACCTTCAGCTTGTTCAGTTCAACTTTGAAAATGAAAGAAGCTGATTGGCTGCAATGCACTGCTGCTCAAGTTTTGATTAATTCCCCTCACTGTATATTACTACATGCCACAAAGACAGGTATATAGTATGTAACCAGAATTTGACAGCTGTTTTACGATACTCCATAGCTATACTTATCTTCATATGCATACAGATGGATCACTTTTACTTTTTATGATCTTGTTATACTGTATATACATATTAACCCAGAGCAGAGTACCCTACATCATACATAAAACCATAGAAAAGTGATGGCACTCAAAAAAGACTGAATAGTCATCGAGTTGTTGTTTTTGGGGTTTTTTTGTGTGTTTCATAGTTTTTATTTTCTTAATTTTTTTCTTTTTTGTTTGAGTGTAGATCTATGTTTGTCCCAAACATGTTTGAAGTCATTTACTGTTGACTAGCTCACTATCTCTGCTGGAAGTCTATTCCAAGCATCAACTACTCTTTCAGTAAAATAATACTTTCTAAGATTAGTTTTGAACTTTTCTCCAGTTAGTTCAAGGTCCTGTCCCCGTGTTCTTGATTTTGGTTTCATGTTGAAAATACTGCCCTCCTGAACCCTATTCACATCCTTGATATATTTAACCACTTTTCTACTGGGCACTTATACCCCCTTCCTGTCCAGGCCAATTTTCAGCGCTGTCACACTTTGAATGACAATTGTGCGGTCATGTAACACTCTACCCATATGACATTTTTTATCATTTTTTTTCACACAAATAGAGCTTTCTTTTCGTGGTATTAAATTTAAGCTTGTGCTCATGAAAACAATATCTCCATGAGGTACTTTTTCAATTTTAAAATTATTATTTGTCTTCTGCATAACCCTCCCACTTCAGCTAGTTATTTACCAAATGTGTATTGTCATGAGGTACCCAGGAAAAGAAATTACAGAAAGACAAGCATTCAATTATCAATTTTTTGCATAGCAGAAATAAAACGTGTTGTAGATTCAATTACATTTGCTATGACATTAGTGGCCATCTCAAAGCTTTGTCATTTTTAGCTTTGAAGTAATTTTTTATTGCAGGTACAGAGACAATGCATAAAAGTGTAAGAAATTAACTACTGCAAAGTTTAGTGAAGGAATGTTTCCATGGAAACCAAAGTAGAGGGCATCATCATGTGACCTACAGTAAATGTTGAAGCAGACTTTCTGTACTGAAGAGTTTCATATACATCAACATAATGACATTGGTCTATAAACCTTAGTCAAATCAGATTTACCAAAGCTGAGAAATAAAGTGGCAATGTTTACATAGCCTTTCTAAAATAAAAAAAATAATAAAACCTAAGCTGTAATTAAAAAAGGAAATAAATGCTGCAATAAACATAATTAATGTTTTGCACAAATGAAATATAATCTGTTTGCTTTTTGTAAAGTGCAACTGCAAAGAACATTATTTCAGTTTTGGATAGCATTGGAAAGGGTTAGACAGCTTTTAACCGCCTCCTGCCCGCCATATAGTGTAATGATGGGCGCAAGGCGGTTGTCTCGTTCTGGGAGGACATCATATGACATGCTCCCATTCTAACCGCGCATGTGCTGCTCCAGGAACGCGCAGCACGGCGATCGGTGGTGCGCTGTGTCCCTCGGACACAGCGGATCACCGATCAACAGAAAGAGCCAAAGATGTCGGCTCGGTCATGTGATCAGCTGTGTCCAATCACAGCTGATCACATGTAAAATAGGGAAATGCCGGTTATCAGCATTTCTCTCCTCTCGAGCTGTCACGGTGACAGCTCGAGAGGAGTGCAGAGCCAGTAATTGGCATCCCTCAGAGGGGACATGTACACTGATCATTAGGGCACTGATGATCAGTGTGCCCTGATGATCTGTGTAGCACCAGCAATGCCACCTGTCATTGCTCATCCATGCCACCTGCCAGTGCCCATCAGCGCCACATCAATGCCACATAGTGCCTACCAGTGCACATCAATGCCACATATCAGTGCCCATCTGAGCTGGCTTTCAGTGTCACCCATCATTGCCAGTCAGTGACACCTATCAATGCCAATCAGTGCCACCTATCAGTGCTGCCAATCAGTGCCAGTCAGTGCCGCCTATCAGTGCCAGTTAGTGCCGCCTATCAGTGTGCATCAGTGCTGCCTAACAGTGCCGCCTAACAGTGCCGCCTAACAGTGCCAATCAGTGCTGCCTATCAGTGCCAGTCAGTGCTGCCTATCAGTGCCACCTATCAGTGCCATATATGAGTGCTGCCTTTCAATGCCCATCAGTGCCACCTACCAGTGCCTCCTCATCAGTGCCCATCAGTGCCACCTATCAGTGTCCATCAGTGCAGCCTATCATTGGCCATCACTGCAGCTTCATTAGCGCACATCAGTGAAGGAGAAAAATCACTTATTTACAAAATTTTATAACAAAAACTAAGAAAATACTTTTTTTTTTCAAAATTTTCCATGGTTTTTGGTTTGTTTAAGAAAAAATAAAAAAACCCAGAGGTTTTTAAATACCACCAAAATAAAGCTCTATCTGTCACAAAAAAATGATAAAAATTTCATATGGGTACAGTGTGCATGACCGTGCAATTGTCATTCAAAGTGTGACAGTGCTGAAAGCTGGAAATTGGCCTTGGCAGAAAGGGGGTATAAGTGCCCTGTAGGCAAGTGGTTAAAGTCTGTGGCCCTTTAGAGCAGATTTTACTTAAAGGGTTAGTTCACCTTTATATATAAAATGAAAAGGTGATCTAACACCCTAAACCCTCCCCACCTCCCGGTCCCCACTGCACTTACCTCCGTATGTGATTCAGTTTTGCCAACCACACGGCCCACAGCAAAACTGTGCTGTTCTTCCTCTTCTTTCCCTTAGGATGCCAAGACAGATAAGAGTAGTTCTGATTTATTAGCATGGTCACGTGCCTGCCCTGTCCAATCAGAACCGTTCTGATCCGCCACAGTGTCTCTAGGGAAAAAATAGGAAGAACAGCACAGTTTTCAAACTCCAGGACTGTTGCACCAGGCTGCATGGATGGCGAAAGTGTATCATCCATGTAGGAAAATGCAGCAGGGATTGGCAGGTGGAGAGGGTGGAGAGCAGAGGTACTGAATTAAAATTCAGGGAGATCCAGTCAGTAAAATATTTTTTCAACAGAGGTCCAGTTTGTGTGATGAGTCCAATCCTTCACATCACAACCCCCCTCTCCTCTTAGGCTAGGTTCACATTTTTGTGGCTGGGGAATGTACGCAAATCAAACGTGTTCCTGACCCGCAGAGAAATGTGCTGCATTTTAGCAGTTGTGCAGGGGTGCCATTAATTCCTAAAGGCACCCCCACACATTACCACCTATGGCACATTTTCAAGAAAAACATATACATGATGAAACGCGCAGGGAGGAGCCACGTGCAAACGCTACCACACACATGCACGAACAGTTGGTGGCCATCTTTGAAACTGGAAAGGAGTGATCTTCTTGTTTGGACATGCTTGATCTTATTTACTACCATATGAGTGCACTTTTGTATCTGAGAGTAAAGGTTTTAATAAAGATTCACACTATGATGAGAATTTATTTCCTTTGCAGGTCTTATACCATGAGTTTTATTTGGAGCGGCTAAAGGTACTCCAAATGGAGGTTGGCTATAGCAGAACACTTCACTTGTCTCTCTTGTGGGATTCAGAGGAAGATTGTGTCTGCTAGCCTTTGGTTGTTTTACAACAGATGTGTAATTGACCGCTCTTTACAGGGGGTCAATTTGTTCTAGTAAGCCATGCATGCGAGTGATTGGTGACACCAGTTATCATTGGAAATTCTTCTGTCTCATCACAGCCTTTGGGAATCACCTTCTTCTGACTTCATTTTACAAATTTGGACTTGTTATTGTCACTATAATGCTTATAAGTGCTGCACTTTCTGTATAGTAATATGGTACATTTTCACAGGCACCAAACTGCTTGGTGCAGTGCAATTTTTTTTTTTTTTTAAAGGGTTACTTCTTTCCCTGCCTTTCTTGCATGTAGGGCAGCCCTTTAAAATGAATGGGCTGCCCTACCTGCGACGTGTGCACTCAAATGTACAGTACATGCACAGATCTGAACCAAGCCTCATATCGCAGTCCCCCTCTTTACATCACAGCTGCATATAATTGTCCTCAGCCCCCCCCCCCATAACTGTTCTCAGCTCCTCCCTTACTTTCCTCAGCCCCCATTGCTGTCTTAAGCAGCCTTTATTCACATTGCCCCCCCCCCCCCCCCCCTCCTGTCCTACTTTACACAGACAGGGCAGAAAGCAGGAGGCACAGCAGGTCTGGGCAGAGGGTGGGAGCTGCATGATGGTGATTGGTTGCTAGGTTCGGACTAGTAAACACTGCTTGTTAACTCAGAAAGCAAACCCTCCATCCAGAACTGTCCTGCCTCCCACTGTGGGCTACGAGGATGACAGTGGTGACGGCTGCAGGGTACAACAGGCTTCTAAATGGTGGGACAGGACAATGAGTCAGTCCGGATGTCGACCATGGTTCACCATTTAGTGATGCCCGGTGTAGGATGTTGGTTCAACTTTTAACCACTTTACAACCCTGCTATAGCCAAAAGATGGCTACAGCATGGTTGTCCAGTTCTGGGAGGGCGTCGTATGATGTCCTCCCAAAACGTGCCCCCGGCGGCATGCACCCGGCACTGTCTTTGATCAGCTGTGTCCTACAGACATGGCCGGTCACATGACAGGGTAAAAAGGTCACATGACAGGGTAAAAAGGCCACTCACAGTGGCCTTTTACCACATGATCAGCTGTGTTCAATGATACAGCAGATCACAAAGTAAAAACAGTTGCCGGTTGTTGGCAGCACTTTCCTCACACTGTCACAGCGTGAGGAAAGTACCGTCAATAATTGCCAAATGTCACAGAGCAGATCTGCACTGATAATCAGGGCACTGATGATCAGGGCCCCCCATCAGTGCTGCCCAGCAGTGCCACCAGTCAGTAGTGCCCATCAGTGCCTCCTATCAGTGCAGCATCATCAGTGCCTCCTCATCAATGCCCACCAGTACCACCTCATCAGTGCCACCTCATCAGTGCAGCCTATCAGTGCTGCCTATCCGAGCCACCTCATCAGTGCCCATCAGTGCTGCCTATCAGTGCAGCCCCATCAACACACATCAATGAAAGAGAAAAATTACCTGTTTGCTAAATTTTATAATAGAAACAAAGAAAAACTTTTGTGTAAAACCCCCCACTGCCAAACTACGGTGGCAGTGCCTTTGCAGCATAATGGGCAGGCTTTGGGGGACGGTAAAAGTGTGGCTTAACTGCACATTTTTATAATACATCAAACACAAGTGTAAATAAGAACTAACAGGAAGAATCTCACTGTGTTCTGATTGAGGGAAGAAGGTTCTAATCCAAGATTTTACTATACATGGCCCCATCCATTGGTCCCTCAATGTGGCAAAGTCGGCCTGTACCTTTAGTAGAGAAACAGCCCCAAAGCATAATGTTTCCACCTCCGTGCTTGACTGTAGGGATGGTGTTTTTATGGTTATAGTCAGCATTTTTCTGCCTCCTCCACACATGGTAAGTCAGGTTAATGCCAAAGCGCTCAATTTTGGTCTCATCTGACCACAGCACTTTCCCCCTGTCTTCTGAATCATTTAGATGCTCATTGGCAAACTTCAGATAGGCCTGTACATGTGCTTTCTTGAGGAGGAGGGGACCTTGTGGGCTCTGCAGGATTTTAATCCATGGTGGTGTATTGTGTTACCAATAGTTTGTTTGGTGACTGTGGTCCCAACTGCCTTGAGATCATTCACAAGCTCTTTCAGTGTTGTTCTGGTCTGATCCCTCACTTTTCTCATGATCATCCTTATCCCATGAGTCAAAATCTTGCATGGAGCTCCAGACCGAGGGCAATTGATGGTTGTTTTGTATCTATTACATTTGCAAATAATTGCTCCAACAGTTGTCCTTCGTACCAAGCTTCTTGTGATGGTATTGTAGCTGATTCCAGCTTTGTGCAGGTCTACAATCTTGTCTCTGACATCCTTTGACAGCTCTTTGGTCTTGTCCATGGGGGTGCCCAAGAAAGATATTGTTAGGAGCACCTTCTTAAATTGACAGGACTAATCTGTGTACCACATGAGCACATTGCCAGTTTTTGGGAGCCAGAATTATTGTTGGTTGGTAGGGGATCAAATACTTATTTTACTCCCTGAACTGCAACTCAATTTATAACATTTGTTTCATGTGCTTTTTCTGGATTTTTGGTTGATATTCTGTCTCTGTCATTTAAAATACACCTGTAATAAAAATTATAGCCCCTTCATTTCTTTGTAAGTGGGCAAATTTACAATATCTGCAGGGGATCAAATAATTATTTTCCTCACTGTATATGAGATTTTAGTATATGAGTCTACATATACTTTAAATTTTGAGTCTAGACCTACTAGTCGGTCACAAAACTTACTTGCCACCAGTTGCCCCACCCAACCTTGCCCAGGTCCGCCCCCAACCCCACCCCTGGCCCACCCCAACCACGCCCCTTAAAGCTTATGAAATTACATTTTTCTTTAGACTAATAAGTCCGAAATATAAAACTGTACACAGTAATGTATATCCCAGCTCCCCTGTACTCCATTATAGTGATATGACATGTATAAAGTCCCCTGTACTCCATTATAGTGATATGCCATGTATACAGTATGTATATCCCAGCTCCCCTGTACTCCATTATAGTGATATGACATGTATACAGTAATGTATATCCCCGCCCCTGTACTCCATTATAGTGATATGACATGTATACAGTAATGTATATCCCCGCTCCCCTGTACTCCATTATAGTGATGTGACATGTATACAGTATGTATATCCCGGCTCCCCTGTACTCCATTATAGTAATATGACATGTATACAGTAATGTATATCCCAGCTCCCCTGTACTCCATTATAGTGATATGTGACATGTATACAGTAATGTATATCCCAGCTCCCCTGTACTCCATTATAGTGATATGACATGTATACAGTAATGTATATCCCAGCTCCCCTGTACTCCATTATAGTGATATGACATGTATACAGTAATGTATATCCCAGCTCCCCTGTACTCCATTATAGTGATATGACA